CTGGGCTTTTAGCAAGTATCTAGGTCGGGAGTACGGTATAATACCTTTAATATATATATATATATATATATATATATATATATCAGCCAGGAGGGACGACGGAGAATGTGAGTAGATTGATACAGTACTGTTTCGGGCTTATTGTGCCTCCATTCAGCCAATCATAACCCTGACCAACATTTGGGACCAGAAACACAAACATGCGCACAGATGCACCTGGCGCAGTTGATCCACCACTGGGGTCTACCAGGTGGGTCATAAGCACTTCATCGAATCGAAGTTCATCAGTGCCTTGCCACCTGCATTCTCTGTCGTCCCTTCTCGCTGCTATTACGACTTGGCCGACTTCGGCCTGGTAATTGGTTGCCTGTTCGTGACCTTTGCCACCCATACGGAGCTTGTTTGCTTCGTGAAGGCAATAGATCGGTGTGCTTCCATTGCTGATTGAATATATATATATATATATATATATATATATATATATATGACTCCACTTCCACCATTCGCCATCACAGTGATTTCCTGTTTCAGGCACGAGAACTCGCTGCAGAAGATCAGGTGTTCTACAAAGTATACGAGGACAAATTCAGAATGCGTTTTCCCGATCGGAAACTGGAGAATTTTTGGTCACACTTAAACACAGCTCGTAAATTTTCCATATAATTTTTTTGCACTGCTCATTTTCCCCGCCTCTCCCTCCCCATCTAGTAGACCTTGGGGTCTGAATTGGCCTCTTGCCTGATCTAACTCACCTTTTTAAACCATGACACGATTTACTGTTTGTGGTTTTTCTATCTGTAAGTTTTCTTATTGTACAGAAAGTTCAAAACCAGTTTTGATCGAGTTTTCCTCCCGACGGTTGCTAATGCAGTATGACGTTTAAACGACAAGCTTCTAATAATTTGGAGTTTTGGGTGTTTTTACGAATCGGGCAGCGGAAAAAATTAAGCCTGTTTTCCTCAGCTTTCGGACCTTTCTTGAGTTCGTCTTTAGTAATCAGTGCGCACCGCGAAAGCTAGCCAGTCATATGGGGCTCTGCCCCACGAATGATTGTATTGACCGCAGTGGTAGTCGTCAATTAGAGGATTGGCATGCGTCTCCCAGCCGTGTTACGTTGGACTTGTTAGACAGAGGAAATTCAGCGCCCTTTTTTCTTGCTCAGTAGTCCAATCCAAACAAGGCTTCGTTCTCTGCCAGTAACATTTGTTTCAGAGCACTGGCAGCTTAGTAATACACCTCATGAAACCAGAAGGAACTTTGATTGGTAGTCACGTCTTCGGACTTTGTGAATAAGACTATGACTCTTAAGTACTGACTTTTGGCTTCTTCAGCCCCAGCATTTTGTCACCAAGTGGATGACATCGTCGGTCTTTTCTCTAGGACATAAGCAAACGGCGACTGGGATAACAGGTGGATTCTGAACCACGAATTTTCCCCGATGAATAGAACCTGAGGGTTCAGCTGCCCGTGTACGTCTATCGCGTCGTTGGACAGAAGGCGCATGAGGTGGCTTTACCGCAGTTAGTGAGTCCATTTTCTTGAAGTCCATGTCACCTCCATGTGTCGGGAAAGAGCAAGTCCATCGTAAAACCTGTGCGGACTTTTTTCGGCTTTCTATTTTTAATAAAGGAGGCCCAGTGAGAATTTGTTTTTCACAGCAGCAGTCTCGGAAGAGGAAGCATCTGACGTCGGCAAACGCAGTTAGTAAGCAGCTCCAGTCATCCTGCCAACGAAATGTGCTCAAAGTAGCTCACGCTTACTCATGATAGCCAATCAGTTCTGGGTCTACGTCTCTTCGTTAACAACTGGAAGCGCCATCTATACGATGATGGCTGTCCAAAGTTTAAACGAAGGCTCTATTTAAAGTTTTTTGCTTTGTGGAGATGAAAGGCGCATCGGTACGTCTTAAAAAGGGAAAATTGGAGTATGCTTTTTCGTACTTTGACTTTTTTCCTGCAATAGTCTTATCAATATCGATTTGAGGCTCCAGGTAGCCATGATCAAGAAACTGCAATTCTGAATCGCTGGGATTTTGAATTTCCTATTCGACTCCACACCAAGAAACCTGAACTCTATAGTCCACGGTAGTTCAAGTGTGAGTAGCCTAACCAACAACAGGCAAGCAGGACTGGCATTTCAAAGAACGTGAGACATTCGATGACGGTCGATCCTTCTGAAGGGGTGAGACGTCGGTTGGCAGAAACATTGGGGCGGTCATTGGGAGGGATGTATGAAACAAATCAACGTCCCTCATTTTTCTCGCAGAGCGTCAGTCGCCAGTGGAATTCTTTGCCGACGTATGTTGTAAATTCCCCTATCTTGAGTGTGTTGAAGGGACATCACCTGTTAAAAGGCAGCCCGAACTCCCCAAGCCCGATCCAGTGGATTACTGAAATGACAATCGACATGCCACCAACATGCTTTCAACAGTCCTTTCGTGTACATCATGTTTGACCCATATGAAAATTTTCACAGCACGAATGCAGTGAACAATTTTTTCGACGTTATTTTGCAAATGCCACATATTTTTCACATTTATGTTCCACTAATAGTTTTGTGCATTCTGTACACTAAAACTACATGTTAAATGTTTGCAACCTAACTATTGTCGGGGCTAGGCTGTGAGAATGTGGATCCTGTGCGCCACCGCCACCAGCTCAGACGTCATGTTGTAAGGGGAAGACCAAAGGGCACCAGAATGAAGGGTTTAATGCATACGGAATCCGGAGATGTCCTCTCAGGTGGCAGTGGCCACTGGCGAAACGAGGGTTGGTGTTGACTGCGTCCAGTCATGCCTGATAGTCCTTAGGACAGTTTTGGCAGCCGCTTTTGTAGGCTCGTGGGCCAAGCTCAAGTGGTGTCCAGTCAGTGTGTGTTGCATTTGCCGAGGAGTAGTATCCCAGTGACTTAGGTTGTGATTGCAAGGTGGGAGGTGCGTTCAAGTGACCGAATGAGCAGCTGCGGCTGTGTGGACGCAGTTATGCCCGGGCTGTCGGTCGTGTGACTTCAGGTCAGCTCATCTGGGACGGCTGACTGCAAAGGGGGAATGACCTTGAGGCGGCGGGTTCTTGAACCGTGACACCAGACCAGTCATGATGGCTGCCCGCTACATTATTTTCATTCACGTCTATACCGTTTAGATGGACTTTTAAGGGTTTCTGCCATCTTCTCTAAATATACTGACTGGATCGAATTGCTTCTGGTATCATTTGTTGAAACATTGTGCTAGAAGTGGGAATGTAAAACAATGGAACGGTGTGGGTCAGAAATGCTCACTAAGCACATTCAACGTAGTATTGGGGTGTTAAACCTAAATTCCCGACGTGAACAAAGGACCGAGTCCTCTGAAATGTCGGCCAATAGACTGGTTTTGGATGTCTCAGACGTCGGTTGCTATATTATTCCATCGTTCGCACGGCTTTTCGTGCCTTGAGACGAAGACATTCTCCATTCTTTATGACGCTGTGACGAACTCTCCGAGTTGAGCAGAAGGCACGTTTTGCGGACTATGTGCCGGGTAAATGGTTCTTGCTAATTAATGGCCCGGGGTCTACTTTTCGAGCAACATTGGAGGGCCTACCAGCATAGGGTGATGAGGTCCTTGTAAGTTTTGCAAACCTCATGCGAAAACAGGCACGGGGAAAACTTTATTTACTCAGAAGGCCATCAGCCTCTATGCGGACTATCCACGAGTTCACGTATACCGCCCACTTACTCATTCGACAAACGAGGACTCGACCCCCTCCCCCCCCCAAGTGGCTGGTATAGGGTGTTATGGCGTCAAGGCCGTGCGCAGTCTGTAATAGCCGTGCGCATCATACACCTTGTTCCATCCTTGTATTTAAGGAGCAGATGATAATTGTGTCTGTATTGTCTTCTATGTAACTTAATATGAAAATTGTCCAGTCGCAAATAAATACCGAACTGGGTCTGTGGTTCGCGTTAACGAATTCGAACCAAAAAACAGTGGCAGATTCTGGTTGATCCCATTCAATAGGCATTTGAATCATATATTTAAGATTGGAAAGACAATCAGTTCAAAGCGTATCAATCATGAGGAGTGCCGCGTACGTCGTCATCGCCGCTATCATGTAGCCGTACTCTCCGCCTTACGTGTTCTGTCAATTCGCCGCTGAGACCGCTTGAGACCTGGTAGTAACATCGTGAGATTTATAAGCCAACCAACGCTGCCCCTTCGCTGACTGGTCGCAGGCGGGCGCAGCCCAGCTAGTCCATTCTGACAACCCCTTGCCACTCCCAACTTAAATAACTCGGCTCCACCACATGACGTCGTTTGTCATATCCGAACCACTGGCTCTATTGTCTCGCGCCTGCGCGTCGTGCTGCTGCCGAGGCCGACCTCTAGCACACCCCAGACGGGCATCATCCGTCAATCTGAAAGCCCTTGGCCTCGCCGCTCTACATGGTTCCTGAGGTCGCCGTTAGTAACCCACGCCACTACGATGACAACAGGGCCCTGAACAACGTCACCAGCTCGAGCTGTTACTCTGTCCCACATCTTCAATTTCTTGCCCTTGCCCTGCTTGGAGAGCATGTCTTTTCGAATCTCGACCTGGCCCGTTTCTTCTATCGAATCCTCACCACCTTGGAAGACGTTTCGAGAACGGCCATCACCATTCCCTTCGACCCCTGGATCCCTTCGCATTTCGTTTGGGCTTCGGAACACCTTCCAGATGTTTGTGGACGGAGTACTTTGTGGTCTTCCCTTAGTCCACGCTTAGACTGATGACCTCCTGATAACCAGCTCCACCGTCAAAGGACACACATTGCATCTTTTGACGACCTTTGAACGCCCTCAACAATTTGACTTTGTTCTCAACCCGTTCAAGTTTTTCTTCGACGTCCCTTACCTCGAGCTTCTCGGGCACCTGGTCGGCTCCAATAGCATTTACCCTCTTCCTTCGAAGGTCGCAGTTATTCTGAATTCCCCTCCTACTGCCAAGCATAAGATTCAGCGCTTTATTGACATGGTGAATTTCTGCCGCCGCTTCCTCCCGAACTGCTCCGGCGCAAATTTGCCGCTCAGGAACCCCCTCTCGCGTTCCAAGGTTCCGCTAGAGCTCTCAACAGACGCTCTTGCTGGCTTTGACAATGTCTAGGCTGTCCTTGCCGTCGTCACCCTTCTGGCTATTTCTGCTCCCGACAATCTTATCCCCCTCATGGTCAACACCCCCAATCTTGCAGTTGGCGCAGCTCCTCATCGGCTACTAGCAGGTCAGACTCAACCGGTAACTTTCTTCGAAAAGTTTACATCTGCGGAATCGCGCTACAAAACATTTGAAATGGGGCACCCTGCGGTCTACCTCCCCTTAAAACGCTCCTGGAGCTTCAATGGGGACGGGGAATTTACTGTGTTTACGGATAACAAGCTCTTTTCCTTCACTCTCAAGTCTAACCCTGACAAACTCAACCCCAGGGACGTTTGCCAATTGGATTGCACTTCTTAGTTCATATCAGACGTCCGCCCCATCGACGGATCACGGGATGAGTAGGCTGACATACTGTCAAGGCCCTTCCTTGCTCATCTTTAACTCTCTTTCCCTTGAGATCGACCTCGCTGAGATGGCTACCAAACACTGTCGTTTTGATCCTCCCTGTGAGGAGGATGTTTCAGGATTCCAATTAGATGCTTTATTTTCTGTGATGTCCCCATTACCTCCCACCGTCCCCTTTTGGCGCCACCCCTTCCCCCTAAGGTCTCCTCTCGACGCAACCTTTCCCACCCTGGTGGTGATGGTGATGGTTGTGGTGGTGGTTACTGGGGAGTTTCTCAAGACTAAAGCAAGTGTTGCAAGTCTGGCATTGTATTTGGTTCGGAGATGTCAAAGAGACCAATCCCTGCGTGAAACGTTATTCGGGATAAAAAGCATGCTAGAAGGAGTCCGTTATTGGGTTACTAGTCTGCCACGCTTGAGCCTTACGAACTGAACCTTTTGTCTAAGCAATGGCTATTCGGTTGTCTATAAGAATGACTGTTGCGCTTTTGCGACAGTTTTCCAGATCTGTCAGTCTTGAGCAAAGGAAGCCCATATATCAGGATTACTTTGCAGTTGCTTTAGGGATGTCTTTAGGATGTTCTCGTTGGGTTATTTCCACCCCCTTGCCTGCGAGCACCCGTAGCGTCGCCACCGTAAAATGGTCGATCGAGTACACTTTCGCCATCCACCTCCTTGGTATGGCCGTTTCATCTTGGTTGCATTTGTTTCTGCATGGAGTGGGTGCTGAGGATCCCAGTCCGCTCCAGACCTTCCCTTTCGTGAATTCTGTCCCGCCATTTCGGTTTTAATATACTCTTGCAGCCATGGCGACTAGGTAGTTAAGTTTAATTGCCTGGTTTTCGTGGCAGGCCAGAGACTCCGTCCCATCCAGCAGCGTTGCCAGGGTGACCGCTCCATACATCCACAGTTTCACGTTGAGAAGGCGGTCTCGTTGAGCTCAAACTGAGTACTGCAGCCGGTCGAAAGCTTATCCATCTATGGAAATAAAGTGAGCAGTTTAGCCGTCGATCTTGAGCTTGTACCCCTAAAGTACTCGAAAATCTTTAATTGCATGAGACGAGTTCCATGGACGTCGATACAGAGTTCATCATACTCAGCAATGGCACCAGCTGGTGCATGGTTACCGTTTTCTACGTGATGATAGAGTCGGTCCAGAAACTGTGCGACCTGAAGCAAAGAGGTACATGGTATTAAATATCCGCATCCATCGGCGAGCGGTCGCCCGCGACCGATAGGCCGTGGATGCTGGCCTTGGATATTCGAACGCGCTTGCATGCGTCAGAAGTTAAGCAACTGTCCATTTATCCGTCAATCTACGTCAACGCCTACTCACTTCGCATGACAGGCGCCCATCAGCATGACCGAGAACCCGAGACTCAAGAAGGTTAGAGCGGGTATGCAGACCTGTTTCATCTCATTTGTCATTAAGAACGCCTTAGTGTCGCGCCATTCTACCTCATGGAGTTGCCTGGTCATTGGCGTGAGTAACGTCTGACATCCTAGCCTCTTCATGATTTTGCACAGTCCATTGCGATTAACTGTGTCGACGACCTTAACAGTTCCACGAATGTGGTGTAATGGCTGGTCTTCATTTTTAGACACTTCTTTGTAACTAACGGGTTGCGATGATCATGTCTCTGGTTTCCTGTGAGTTGGTAATTGACAGTGTCCCTGGAACGGGTCCCTACACAAGGTGATTGTTTAGACAATAGAGGAGAGCGTGGGTAAGGATTTTCCAGCAGTGGCAAAGAGGGCGGTGTCCTTTAAATCTCTGCCTGAGACATCTGCCCTTCCAGGTCCTTGGCTTTGCTATATTTTTCTTCATGCTGACTTCATCTGTTTCTATCCTTATGGCAATAATAAGCCCCTATCTGGCGATTCTTGGAGCTTGGTTTGCGCCTGAAATGCCCGCCGAATTTTTTCCATAGATATATAACAACTGCAGGTGCAGAGGAGTCACGGCATCGAAATAATTTCTCAATTTCTGTTGGTATAACATCTGGGGGATCTTTAGGCTTTCGTTAAACTCATGCCAATCAGTAGGAAGTGGTTGGACGCATTCTAAGTCAGCAAGTACCGAACAGGCAACAGCTCACTGATTTCTGGCAATTACACGTTAACTCGGTCGTGACATCAAAAACTTAGCGGAATATGCACCATAGATTCCAAGGAGACAGTATCCTTACGAGATGTGTTTCCGTGCAATTATTAAGGATCTGGCAACCTCGACAGGATGCCCTTTTTCAGTTTTAAAATAAACACAGTCCAAGTGAACGCTAACACAATTGACATGGTAATTTCTCCCGAGGTGTTCGCCGAATAATTAGTATAATATCACACATCTCCCGATTTAGCCCCGTAGTCTAATGACGTTATTTTAGAAAAGAGATTTGCACGTCCCAAATAGTTTACGTTTAACTTTGAAATGCGGGAGTGTTTACGGGAACCGAAGGCGGAATAATGGGACTAAATGATTAGTCGGAACCGCCGAATTCTCCTCATCAACTAACGGAAAGTAAGTAAAGCCCGCAGACTTGCTTTTATGATGTACGAATTTTGTAGGTAGAGATGAAGGTATAGTGGGCAGCCACCATGACCAGTTCGGCGTCATTGTTTAAGACCTCGCTGCCTCTAAGTCACTTACCCCTTGTAGCGCGCCGTCCCAGACGAGCTGACCTAAAGTCACTCGACCGAATTCAGCTCGGATACAATTGCGTCCACACAGCGTCGTGGCTGCCCATGTGCCACTTGAACGCGCCATCCCCTGCAACCAGCAAAACAAGCCACTGGGGCACCACCCCTCGGCAAATACGAAACACACTGACTGGACGCCACTTGAGCTTGGCCCACGGGCCTACAAAAGCGGCTGCCACCACTGTCACAGGGACTCTCAGGCATGACTAGACTCAGTCAACACCAGCCCTGACTTCGCCAATGGCCACTGCCGCCTGAGAAGACAACTCCTGGTTCTGTGCTCAATAAACCCCTCATTCTGGTGCGTTTTGTCTTCTCCCTTCAATGTGGGATCTGTCTGGACGATGGTAGCGTTCAGGGCACTTACTCTCACCGCGTGGTCTCTACAAAGGTATTTGCATTCAAATTAAATCAGAATAATAAGGAATCTCTAATTTCGCTGGAGTTGATAAAACAGGCTTCCAATTCTTAGAAAGATTTCGGAAACGAACCTGAAAAGGTTGTTCCTCAGGAATTAAAATCTAAGTTCGCATAAATTATCGTAAGCAAATTCTATCTTGGAAAGTTCGTGTGATTGTTGTGCTACTAAGACCCTGGTTACGTCTCCCATTTCTAGTTTTAATGTTCGACCTTGTATGATGCTGTGGCTTATTTCGACAAGCCGTGAGTGTTTAATTAATATCTACAACCGCACGTACTACTGGTTGCCATCCTGCGTGTAACGCTTATTTAAACAGTTGTAGCCAATAATTCATTGTTCAATTTGAGTTTTATCATTAAGCGGATTAGTATACTGTCAAATGACGGCTGCTTTGCTTGGATACATAAAATCACAGCCTGCGGTTTTTGGCTGATAATTCGAATTTCCCACTAGTTAGCCTAGCAGTAAATGCTGCTTCTTCTTACTCTTCATGCTTATTCAGATTAATTTAGATACGTACGCTCTAAATTCCTATGAACAAGGTAAAAATAGACAGCTTTGATTTCATAAAACTTGCATCCAAACCGCTTCGGACGATATGGCAGCTTTGAAGGTAGGCTTGGCCACATTTATGATTCAAAAAGAACACATTTGGAATTTGGTTTCCAGTTTTCACTCTCCAAAAGATCTTCCTTTTTGAGACTTCAGTTTACCGGAGGCAGTTATAGGCTGCCGTCCTTAAGAATAAGATTTCGTCAATCAGTTTCTGTGCCTTCGAGAATTTAATAAAAGGCTCTCGCGGAAATGTCAGCTCTCCTTATCATCTGATAATCAGTTGTGAGGGGAAGGGTCAGGCACAAGCTCAATCCAGTGCGATATTACTTAGGAGCGTAGGACAGTTTAAGATGGTAGACAGTTTCATGTGCACAGGCCCTTCCCTCTAAGAAGAAGAGACACATCGCATGGGTCATAAACACAAACATCTCTTAGAACCATTTATGCGACGAAGTACAGACATCGCACCTTCCAAACGTGTCACCCGCGCAGACACTCGCACAAGGCAAAACATGAATGCGCACCTGGACCAACGAAATTTTTTCTTTAGCTAGCGAGTACTTTGACGGTTCAGTTCACTCCTAGGCAGGATTATGACACTCAATACCACGGCTGTGTTTTAAGGAAAACAGAATAATTTCATTTCTGATTAAAACACCATTTACTGTAGGATTATATGCGGTCAGCCATGGAACACATCATGAATAAAACCGCTGCGTGTTAGCAAAAAATGTCCGTGAACATATTGAAAACGAATGAGTTTTCTATCGAATGCATATGATTGTATATTTAAGTTTAATTGTACATCGTCAATGTTGCCAGAGGCTCAGTCTGCAACCCTCAGAAAGTTCGTTCTGGATTCCATATAAACAAGCATACGCTGGCCATTTGCCTGCGTACTCTCGTGACTGCGTTCAGTGCTCGCTTAATT